CAAAATAGATTAGATTGAAAGCCTTTGAACTGATTAGAAGGTAAGATTAAGTCACTGACTCTTTTAGTTAAAATTATTCACATATTATCAAGAATCGCTGGATAAGGAATTGTCTAGATGGCTGCACTCAAAGAGTTGTGGCCAATGGCTCAATGTCCAAGTGGAAACTGGTGACAAGTGGTGTTCCGCAGGGATCAGTATTGGGACCCGGTGTTGTTTAACATCTTTGTTGGAGACATGGACAGTGGGATTGAGTGCACCCTCAGCAAGTTTGCTGACCACACCAAGCTGTGTGGTGTGGTGGACACGCTGGAGGGAAGGGATGCCATCCAGAGGAACCTGGACAGGCTTGAGAGGTGGGCCCATGCAAGCCTCACGAAGTTTAACAAGGCCAAGTGCAAGGTCCTGCACCTGAGTCAAGGCAATCCCAAGAACAAATACAGGTTGGGTGGAGACTGGATAGAGAGCAGCTCTGAGGAGAAGGTTCTGGGGGTGCTGGTTGATGAAAAGCTCAACTCGAGCCAGTAGTGTGTGCTTGCAGCCCAGAAAGCCAACTGTGTCCTGGGCTGCATCAAAAGCAGTATTAGCAGCAGGTCAAAGGAGGTGATTCTCTCCCTCTACTCTTCTCTCATGAGACCCCACCTGGAATACTGCATCCAGCTCTGGGGCTTCCAACATAAAAAAGGCCTGGACCTGTCGGAGAGAGTCCAGAGGAGAGCCATGAAATTAATCAGAGGGCTGGAGCACCTCCCCTATGAGGACAGGCTGAAAGAGTTGGGGTTGTTCAGCCTGGAGAAGAGAAGGCTCCAAGGAGACCTTATAGCAGCCTTCCAGTACCTGAAGGGGGCCTACAGGAGAGATGGGGAGGCACTCTGTATCAGGGAGTGTAGTGATAGGACAAGGGGTAACAGTTATAAACTGAGAGAGGACAGATCTAGATTAGGTATGAGGAAGAAATTTTTCACTGTGAGGGTGGTTAGACACTGGAAGACGTTGCCCAGAGAAGCTGTGGATGCCCCATCCCTGGAGGTGTTCAAGGCCAGGCTGGATGAGGCTTTGAGCAACTTGGTCTAGTGGGAGGTGTCCCTGCCCATGGCAGGGGGGTTGGAACTAGATGATCTTTAAGGTCCTTTCCAGCCCTAACCATTCTATGATTATATGATTCTATGATTCTATGAAACAAAACATTAAAAAAATTAACTGTAATCCCAACAAAAGATTTTATTTTCTTACTAATATCAGAGAAATGACAAATAAAAAGAGACTGAAAGAGATCTCATCTCCTACACATTCAAAAAAATGTAACTTAAAGGTCAGGAGAAAAATGTAAGCTTTACTTTCACAAATGAACTAAGAGGAATTTAAGTACAGAAGGGAGAGGCTGAAAAACAAAAATAAAAAAACAAAATCAGAGATGTAATTGCACCATCCAAGAAGGAATTATTTTTATTTTCCAGGCTATGCCAAGTCCAACTAAACCACCCTCAAATACAAGGAATACCTCTAACTAAGGATCAGACGAGAGCGTTATAAGCAGAAGGCAAATAGGGAGATAATCAGGGTGAAACAATGGAATAGCAGCAGTTTTTTAACAAATTATGTTCCTGGTTCTCTCTGGTAAGAAAAAGAAACCCCAGGTATTTCAATAAAGGCAACAAAAAGACATGTCATCTCAAAATGGTACATTATGTGCACACATGTATTAGTTATCCTCCTCATTTCAGATGCCTATTTCAGGCAGTGGTAGTTTACAAAGATTTCTGAAAACTACTGTGGTCCATTTTACCTTCAAAACTATAGCAGATATCCCAAAACTACAAAATATTCAAGATCAATAAAACTTTTCTGCAGTGTTAAAGAAGAAGGTAATCAGAGTATTATTCAAGAAAAGGATTGGAAGAAAGAAAACAATTGATGGTAGTATGTCATGCGGCTTAAGACACTTTGAACACATTAATCACAAAACACAGGACTGTGGGTATCAACAAATTTAAAGTAAGACTTTTCTTACACTTAATCTTTTTCATTCCTGAAAGCTGCCTGGAAAGGAGCGCACTAGACATGCATGGGATTAAAAAACAAGAACAAAGTGCTTCACAGAACCAAAAATATTATTTGACACTGAAGATGACAGAAACATGTTAAATCAGTCCTTCACACCATAAAAATAAAAAAGTTTTTACTTAATCACAGCTTAATGAGAAAATTCTGATTTCTTTCTCTCTAGCAACAGTGAAAAATTTTCTTCATCATACCTGATAATCAAAGCCATAACAAGTATGACCTCTAATCTCCTGATCATACCAAGTTTTCTATTCTGTCACTGTATTTATTAATCAGAGGGATTAACCACTGAAGCACATCAAGCCAATACCAATTGGCTTAAAATTCCCAATAGAACTCTTACACAACTTATTTAAACTGGGTTTTATATGAACTGTTTGTTTGGGTTTTTAACCCTTCCTTCCCCAGCCCCCTCAAAACAGAAATACATTAATGATGGGTTTCTCTGCTGTCTCTGATTTCTCTGAATTGTTGAAAGAAAAATTCAGTGATCTCAGAAATCTTCACTTTCATTTAACAATTTTTGTTCTTGTGCCAGAAAGTCTAGACAATGACTCGTAGAGGATGGCTGGGTGGCCAACTTCCTATAACTCATCTGGTTCTCCCCTTTTGCATAAGCCTCCTTGCAGATATCTTAATTGGATACATTTGGTTAGTGTTTGTTCCACCTTGATGGAATCCAATGGAATACATCACAAACAGCAGTTTACTTTTGCTTGTATGATGGCTCAATTTAGTGCCTTCAATCTGGAGTTTCTTAAAATCCCAAATTAGTTCTAATTTTGAATGAATGAAGCATCTGTACCATCACATTTCTGTGAAACTTAAGACCAAAAACATGAAAAAAAATAGCTTTTCTCAATAAGTGAACACCAAGAGAAACTGAATGCATATGTAGCTCAGGAAAATCAAGGGCTAGCCTACTTCAGTGTGCACGGGGGGACAGGAGTCTTTCCTAATTGCTGGTGGCAAAGGCAAAACCCTCTGTATTGGGTAAGGCAGAGATGGAGTTAATTTCCACACAGCAGCCCTCAAAGCGCTGTGTGTTGCATTGGTAGCTAGAGAGGTGTTGATAACACCAGTGTTTCAGCTACTGCTTTGCAGTGCTCACACAGCATCAGGGCTGTCTCCCCAACACACCCGCCCCCATAGGGTCAGGGCCCCAGGGGTCTGTGCATATTATTAATAGCACAGAAAACAAATTTTTGCTTTAAAACACATAAATTAAAGTATACATGATATAAATGCCTTGAATCATGCCTAAAACTCTCTCTGCACCACCTTTTCAGTCATATAATCATGTGTGATTTAAAATGCAGAGACTGACAAATCACTGATTTATTAATACATCTTACACAAAAAGCAGGGCACAATTATCATTACCTTATTGTACATATTAGTATATACAACGAAAAGTTAAATCTAGAGTATTTTAAATCCTATTAATTTTCAGACTCATGACACAGGACACAAATTCTGCTAAAGAAATTAGACTTCAAATGCCCAGTGTATCAGGCTTTCCATAAATTGTTATGAAAAAAACCTAAATTTAGCTTTAGGAAGAAGCAGAGGCTTCCACCAGTTTCCCCAGAACACTGCCTTCCTGGCAATCTGCAGTATCTACTGGTGAACCATGGACTTGCTTTAGCTTGTTCTTTTTGAATGTCATATTTGTTCTTAGCATATGTGACAAGGATAACAGGATTTTTTTTTCACTGAAGATTATATTCACATCTGCAATGAGCTTCTGAAACTGAATGCTGAGAAAGCTCATAATACACACTCAAGAAGGTATCAATTTAGAAAGGAATAAAATATGAGAGACAGAGAAAAGAAAAACAAATACAAATCTTCCAGCACAATGTTGTGTGTAGGTAAAACTATCCGAACAGCAGTCAGCAACATTCGATCTGCTATGAATTTTAACCATTTAACATTCACTAGTGTAGCAATGAAGAGCCAAATCTGAACACACATAATTAGAGGTTATATATATAAGAAAAGCGACCGTAGGAAAAAAAAAAAAACCAAACAACAACACATAGCTAAATTAACTACTGAAGAAGTTTATTCCCCTGAAAATCAGAACCGTTACCTAAACGTAAAAAGAACTACCTTAGAAACTCCCTTCTAGCTCAGTCTATGCCAGCGCTTCTCAAATCATCATAAGATGGTCTGCACAACAGCTGTAAAAACGTTTTGGTTTTCTGTTCTGTCTTTTAATAAATACACACACACAAAGAAGCAAGGAATCTATACAATGAAGGGAAGTAAAAACAATAAAAGAGCATTCAACTCTGAGGGTGGGCTTCTTTTTGGCAAACTAAAATTACTGTGGCAATGCTATGCAAATGTTTCTAGGAGCTGCTTTTCCAAATCAGTACTACTAGCCCCTGGATTTCAATTCCAACCCTTCTCTGACTTGTTCTTTAACCTTCTATGACTGGTGCCATAATAGTCACCAAACTGCTTTTTAACATTGCTGAATACTGAAGCAGAAAAGGCATTAAACACTCCAGCCTTCTTTGTACTCTGCATTGCTAATTTTACTCTCTTCATTGAGCAGTGAAATGTTACTGTTCTTGGTCACCCAGCCCACTAAGTATGTACTCTTACAAAGATTTCTTGCTACTTTGACATCTTCTTGTTGCTACTTTCAAGCCTCCTTTATTTTGTACTGGGCTGGAGATGTCTCACTTTGCTCCTATGTGCTTAAGCTTTTTTCATTTGGCTGGTTTTTGTAATGCTTAGCCTCAGACATCTGACGTTGGTCTCACTTTCTTTTTTCTTTTCCGTGTTTGAGATTGCAATGATTGCGATCAAGGTCAAACTCCCACTGCTCTTCCAATGCTTTCTCCATGCTGGAAAAGTTTATTCTCAAGATCTTAATACAGTAACTTAATTTTTTCCGAGCTATACCTCACAGAAATCTTCATCTAGCAAGTCTCTAAGCTCACAAAATCAGTCTTCCTAAGAGACATTCCTGGTATTTTGCCGTTTTCCCTTCTATGCTTTCAAGGATCATGTGCTTGTATTTCATAGTTACTCTCCCACAAGCGTTCACTCAAATCTTCCATCTAAGGTTCCTTTAGGAAAGGATATTGTGATGTCTCTACTCTATAACTGGGTTATCTAAATTCAGATTCACAAGCAGCTCTGACTCACAATTTAGGCAAAACCTAGGCATGTAAATCCAATCATGCAGTCAAAAGCCCAAACTAACCACCTAGTACTTACAGACTCTTTACAGTAAACTGTCAATGTGTAAAAACCTTGAAGAATTCCTCATAACAGGGCTACGTATCTGAGGAAAGTTTTGCTGTTGTTAAAGCACTTGGGAGGAACAGACACCAAAAAAAAGGTTCATTTTCCAGTTTCCTCAATAAAACACAATGCCATGATTTAGCACAGATAACAGGATACAAATAGCTTATTTCAGTCTGCTTCTGTCCCCTAGTGCAGTGCAGTTCATTGTACCTGAGATAATGGTGCTCACTGACGTGGCTGTGTTGTTACTAGGCAACCAAAGATAAAATGCAGGGTTTAATGATTTTTATTTAATGCATTTTTATGAGAAAGTGCACTCTCTTTTTTCCTCCCCTGATATTACTTCAGGTGGAAATGCTGTTTACCCAGGGAGATATATTTAGCCATCCTCTGCAATCCGAACAAGAAAATTATTCAAACTGGATATTCAAAACAGACAGTCAATAAATATTTCTAAACATATTGACTATTACCACTATCAAACACTTACATCGTACCAGCAGCTGAGATCTCAAACCACTTCACCAGGTACAAGTAATCAGTAGGTCTCACAGCAGAGAATAACAATGGCAAGAAAACAGACAACAGCTCATGGATGTCTGAGGCTGTTATGGATGTTTATGTACTCCTCTGTGGCAAAGAGAAAGAGCCCAAGCCTCTATCACCCTTCACCTCTCCTGTTCTGTCATGACACCCACATCTGGCAATGTCACTCCATGTTTTCTTCCTGTGGCTTTGGGTTGTCACAATTCTGTCCAAAAAAGAGGGGTCCATCACCAAAAGCTGTCTCTCCTAGTGGGGCCCTGCTCACAGGAGCCTCTACAGGAAGATGTACATCTTTGGAAGCATCCTAATATCACAGCCCTTGCCCTAGCAGCCTAGCCACACTGCTAGGAGGCATAACAACTGAGTTCCTTTTAGATTGGCTGACTTCCCAACTCTTCCATCTTTGCAACAGGAGCAGGAAAGTGTCTACAGATCCAAAAATCAACTGAAAGCCTCAGGCTGGGTGCATCCATGAGGGCTCAGGTCTGAACAATGCTACAACTCTGACTGCATATTTAATTCCTGCAAATTCTGCAAAATGAAGTGAGAAGCAGATGAACTATTTTTAAATGCAACACTGTAGAAGAAAAAACAAGTCTCACATCATTTTGCTTTCACATATAGATAAAGCCAAACTAACTAATGCTGCCACTACTGGATTATTTAACATTTTTCTCTGCTAAGGTTACCTTTCAAATAACAGGAATCATGCAATTCAATTGTAAACTTCTTTCTGACCCTTCATACTGGTCATCTTTAAATTAAAGTAGAAAGTCCACTGGACTCAGTGCCATTGTATCTTTACAGTTTTTTGTGCCTCAGGATACATCCTTATCATGAGTGTTATCAGGTTCTACTTCCTATCACTTAGGTAGACAAAAGAAATGCATTTAACGGTCCAAAATATTTGTGCAGGTCAGTAAACGCCTCTTGCATTTTATCTTGCATTTATTCTGATCCCAAAAAAGGGCACTGAACAGCTACTTCTGACCATTTGCCTAGTCAAAATAATACAAGGCTGAGGGTCAGACACTTCCATCTGAAATTTGTTCTAGGGGAGCGCCACAGACATAACTGGTAACAGTACAGCCTGACTTCCTCCTCCTTCAGAAGCCTCTCCACACACAGCCAGCCTCACTCCTCACAACGCAGAAGTTTTTAAGCAACCAATAGCTATCAGTTTGTGGGTTTGTGAGCTTGGTTGGTTTTTTTTTGGCCTCTATTCTTATCCTCCACATCTGCAAATGCTGCAAAGTTCTCCCACCTCTGAATTGTTACAAAAATCGTCTGTCTGTACGTCAGCAGTGTAAAATGCCACACCGACCTAGACTAGAGAACAGCAGCTTTAATGCGTTAAAAGAAGAAAGTGTCTTTTACTGTGTACAGATGTCAGGAGATTTCACAGCTCCTTGGGTTAACTTAGAAGGACAGGTTAACAAATGCAATTGATTCTCAGTGCACTTCCCACTTTCACCAAGTTCACAGATACCTTGAGATTGGATTTCCAGTAGTTTATATTTCCCTTGGTGTGTATCTTACTATGCCAAGTGCCATTCCATATTTTTACCAATGATCAGAAACTGAAATAAATCTGTGGGAAGGACTGGTGAAATAATAAATCCTAAGAAGGAAGTGGCAGTACCAGACACAACAGGTAAACTGGGTCTATTCAAACATAACGGGTTTCATAAAAAAACATGAAGTCAGACATCTGTGATCAAGAAATACCTGCCATACTCACAGAATGCATGTTGGCAAACACTGATTAGACTTTTCCTGAAGTATGCCGGAAATGGATTAACAAGGTGTTAGCAACTAACGCTGTAGGACCTCCTGCGTAACAATCAGGAAAGAGTACAGGTATGCAAACAAGGAAGCAGCAGGACCAAAGCGCAACTCTACTTTTCAGGTGACATTAGGGGTAGCACTGTTACAATGCCAAAGACATTTCAATTGCCACATTTGTAAAGTTTCAGAAAAAAACAGAGTGAGAAGGAGATGGACATAAAAAAGATAGGAGAGCTGAAGATAATGTTTTACAGTTAGAATCATATAAGACCTCAATCTGCTCATCATTATCACCAGCACTGAGAAGCCACTCAATGGGAAGGAAGTGCTGGTTTCAGAAAGGTTTTTAATATAGCAGAAGAGAGTAAAAGCACTGGAATGGAACCAAAAGCCAAAGTAATTACAGTAAAAAGATATATTTATACCAGTGAGGATTATTAACCACTGGAACAAGCACAAACATTTCACCAACTGTGGAAATTCATGTACTGTTGCTGAACTGTGACTGTAAGTCATGTGGCAAATTCTATGGTATTTTTTGTCATAGTTCTGTAAAACACAAAGAAGTAACTCACAGTCCCAAACGCATTATTCAGAGATGTTTACATAACAAATACATTTTCCACATAAGACTTTACAAAAGAAACAAAAAAAAAAAAACAAAACCAAAACAACCCCCAAACAAACAAACAAAAAAATTAAAACCAAAACCTTTGAAGAAACACAAGCCTCTTCCATTTCGAATTTACTAGAAACAGTCTAGAAGAGTTTGTCTTGATCTTATTGTCAAGCCGTATTTAGCTTTTACTAGGCTTATAAAAAAAAACTTACAAGAGAGTGATGAAAAAGCTAATAGAGCAGTCTATCTTTTAGATATTGCTATGCCTTAGCAACTCTCCAGTCACCAATATATTTCCAGTGCAGGCTGCTCCACATTTTTAAACATTATCGTTTTACACAACAACGAAAAAGGACAAAAAGATTGGAAGAAACTTCTATATCATCTAGTCCATCCTCTTTCTCAAGGCATAACCAAATGTCTGAATCTCATTCTGGACGGATATTTATGTAACTTATTACATTTGAGAAACTACAACTGTGATAGTTCCATGAGCTGCCCAATCTATATTGTTATGTACTTATTATCAGAAGTTTTGCACAAGATCTGATGCAAATCTTCTCAAGCACAGCATTAGCCTACTGTTTCTTCTTTCAACCATGTATTACTTCATTTAACAAATTTTAAGGCTGTTGTCATGTCTCCCTTTCAAAGGCTGATCACAGCAAACACGAAGTCCTGGCCAGGATCAGATGAACAGTAATAAACTGGGGAAACATGGTGAACTAATCACTAAAACAGAGTACCTTGTTAGGAGTAGGCAATCCAAGGAGACAGGTTAGACCACTGTCCCTCGTATGAAATCCTCCAACCAGACAAGAAAAGGAGAACTCTGTCCCCAGAATACCATGCAAAATAAATGGGTTTGTTGACTACAGGGGTACAGGGCTTACTATGTTTCAATTCCCTACCTCTACCACAGTTGTCTTGGCAGCTTTGCACATAGGTTGGTTGAAGTTTCTTGCAGTTTTCCTGCAAAAGAAAATAAAATGAATAGATGATAAAAGCTGTAACAGTACAAGGAAACTTTTCAGAAATAAGCTACTACAAGTATCTCTGTAATAGAAATATCACAAATCTTCTCATCAAATAGCTAGAAGACTAATAAAAAAATAGGAGGAAAGAAAAAGTATTATGGAATTGTATAAGATGCATATGAAATTAAATCATATTTTGCTACAGAAAATATTTATTACAGCTCTTTTGACTCTTAATCAGCACATTGTTTAATTGAAATTGGGTATGCTACTGGTATCTTAATTTATTAAATCTAAGAGCAGTAGCAAGCTGGGCTTTGTAATGTACCTTCCCATTATTTCACTGCACAAAGAACTACATTAATCTCCACGGGGAGGGTCAGCACAGGGCCTAACAACCTCTCAGGTCCCACATATGTGTTTGTAATTCAGACTAGGCCTTGGGATAGCACTTTGCACAGTAGTAAATTTAATTCAATTCTCCTGATTAAAAAAGCTGTGCCAGTTTTGGCACTCCCTGCAAGATTCTGGCATTCATCCTAAGTATTCCCACACAGTATTTCTGTAACAAGGAAAAAGAACCTCTAGGGAATAAAGTAACACATGACATGTATAACCATGCTGGGATCTGCAATGAGATCATAGTAGGTGCAAGGAAAAACAAGGGACCTATGTCAGCCCCCTTCTGTATTTTTCAGAAAGCAAACAAAACTGTGTGGTGTAATATTTAAGAAAAATTACATATATTTTAGTGAGGCTCCATTGATTGCTTCTCAGCATTTTTCTCTTCTAAAAGTAGGATTATTGAAATTTTTCCTGAAAATGCATGAACCTAGGGTTCAAAACAAGTCAAAACTTCTTTTACCCCCACCCCATCTCCATAGAAGCATTTCTTTTTTGACCATCCTTGTTTCCCAATGTCTTCTACTTTCTTCACCCTTTCGTGCAATGCCCAGGCCTAATGCTAGAGCCGGGACGAACTTTGGGGTGCTGCTGCCACCTCGTGGCACTGCAGGACGTAGGGAACTGGAATAGCCTAATCCTGAGATTACCAAACCGTTTTAACAGGATTTCTAGTACAGAGACCTATAAAATCAAAGCTATACCCAAAGACACATATCACAGGGAAATCCTGTTTTTTTAGAATCATAGAATCACAGAAACATAGAATGGTTTGGATTGGAAGGGACCTTAAAGACCACCTAGTTCCAACCGTGGGCAGGGACACCTTCTACTACATCAGGCTGCTCATCATTGGCAATACAAAGCAGCTGTGAAGCCTCCAATAGAGGCTACAAAAGGGACAGTATCTTTTGTCCGTGGGTCTCCTCTGTGGCTGTGTAAGAACAAAAGGATGTCAGAAGCAGAAACCTTAAAAAAAAAAAAAAAAGAAAAAAAAGAAAAAAAAAAAAAGGAAGACTTGAATTCTTCTCTTAGTGCATTAATACAATACTAGCTAGTAGTGACTTAGGGGAAGTACCCTAAACTAGGTAGTGTAGAAAATGAGAAGAAAAACTGAGTTACAAAAGCTGAATTAAAATAGCAGGGGAATGGGTACAGATGGGGGAAGGCAGATGTGGAAACAAATAATTATTTAATCCCATGCAATTACTTTTCTGAGCCAAAGACCTTCTCGAGATTGTAGTGGCTCGTCTGTCAGTAAAAGAAACTGAGATAAAATTATTTTTACATCGGGGAAAAAATTATAAGAAAACATTTCAATGTAAAATTAAGAAGAGCTAATGAGCTTGAATCTGACCCGATTTATAAAACCTTATGCGACCTAGAATGCTCTTCGGTTAGTAAAGTTGTTTCAGAAGCAGCAGTCTTTTACAAGATCAAAGTAACACTATAACACATGGTCCAGAAGAAGAAAAAACAGAAGTACCACACTTATTTTTGAACACAGAATAATGTTGAGGTTTTTTGAGTATGAAATCCAGAAACTAGCAAGCCAAGTTTGCCTTTTTATTTTAAGATAACTTTCTGAATATCTACACTCAACAAAGTCTACAAAGTTCATTGCTTCCGCAGTGGATTTCTAAGCTGTCTGCAAAGCATAACAACAGCTTTCTTCCCAAAGAAGAATTAACTAGCAAGCTAGTTAATTGTACACCAAAACAAAAAACTACATCCACTATGTGCCGAATGGTGCAGAGGTGAAGGGACACCTCAGACATGAGTTGAATTTATGCATCGCAGCACCACTTGAAGCATGAAAAGATGACCTGACATGACTGCCTGTGACAGTAAGGGCCCGGACTCCGGTTATTGTTTCAAGGTCTCTTTTCCCTTGTCAAGAGTCCACCTTCTTTGGCACCAAATCACACCTCCGCTTGTAAAGTGGAAGTATATTGGGCTAGAATAACTCCAAAGCAGAATTGTACCAGATAAAAAGGCAAGGGAGCCAAAGGAGGTAGAATATCCATAAAAGCAGTGACACTCCCTGCTGTTGTCCCTAATGAGGAAAGCTCTGAAGGAGCTTAAGATACGGAGATACTCTCTTCTACTAAGTAGAACTAGGACCTGCATCAGACTAACAAAGTGAAATAGCCATATATGCATCCTTTCAGCTAGCACAGGAACAAGGTGCGATTATTTCATTATGTTTGAGGGATTCTTGGATTATTTGTCTCGGTAATGGTGCACTATACCTAAGAATTATTACCTACTGGGCCAGACAAAGGACTTGTTAGGCAAAAGCTGTGGTGCTGAATAGTCCACTCAGCATAAGCATGCCTGGAAGGAAAGCAGACACAGATGTACTGTACAGAACAAAAGATCTAGAAGACACAAAGTATCATGTAGTAAGCCCTGTTTAAAAAAAAAATTGCTTTCTAAAGGAGCTGGTGCCATTCCAGATCCACAAGAAAACAGTATAGCTTCATGTATGTCAATAGACAAAAAAACGCATGGTGGCCTGTGGTCCCAATAAGCCTATCTAAAGCACATCCTTTGGATTTAAAAAAGCTCTCAGCTTGAGGGTGATCAACAGTTTCAGACAGTGCATTCCTGTTGCCTTCACAGATACCAGACACATGGGAAACACACTATAAATAGTACCACACTGCTGTGAAAGCCTTGGCAGATTTGAATAAACACAGAGCTTATGCCTATTTAGGCATTCCTCAGCAAACAAAATGGAAGTCACATAACAAAAAAAGTATAGAAGGGTCCCACTGGCAGTGAATACAAACTCAGTATGTAGCATGATGTCAAAAATACATTTTCGTTTTCATCCTGTAGATCACAGAAGTTCTGCTGTTTACTTTAATCTATTACAATTTCCATCTCTGTTTTCTCCTGCAGGCTATGAGACAAGCCTATGTTTCTCTGTTATAGGCCATTAGGTAATCTGTGTCTCATTCAAAACCAGAATGGGTCACTGCTTATTACGAGCAAATTCTTTTAAACTAGCAGTACTCTACACGGAATAAGACACTGGATGATTATGTTTCCATCTTTGATTAGGTACACTTGAAAGAAGGAGTCACAACTTTTAGGTCTCCACTCCAGATGGAAATAGCATCTGGCATCAACTGCATTGTGTGAATGTGGGAGAGATATGAAGACTTCTGAAAGGAACAAGAGGGAGAGGAAAAGGCATGAAGAGAGACCAACAGGACATGAAGGAACTGGGGGAAAAACGAAGAATGCAACCAGTCTGTTCCTGTGGAGAATGACAGAATTTTTCAGAGGTAAGTAAGCATCAGTAGACAGATAAAGGGTAAAAGCACAGAGAGTAGAGGGTCAAGATCAAACACAGACAAGCCCGAGGGCAAAGACTGTTTCCTGTATTCGGTGTCCTAGAGCCTAAGGAAAGCACTTTAGCAGCCATCAAATTCATATGCACACACACACCAAACTTCAGTTTTCAATCAGCTTGCCAGTGGGCAAGCCAGGATGTCAAGAGTTTGGTAAAATAAAAAATTATTTCTTAATATTCAACTATTTTAATTTAATATTGTTATTAAATCTGTAAGACATATACATAAAATTTATGTGAATACACGCATATATATACATATACAAATAAAAGCATAACTTTATCGGTTTTATTTTATCTGTGTATTTTCAGTTGCTTTTTAAACTCCTTGTTTGCTTTTATACATAAAAAGACAGACTACATCACTCAGCATCTTCCTGTAGTAAACTGCAACTGATTACCATAACGCTTACCTTTTCATCTGACAGCCATAAAACAAACAAATAAAACCCAAATGTTAAACATAAGCAAATCTCTCCTGCTTCAGTTGACAACAAACCAGAGCACAAATACAGCAACTCAAATCAATGATGTTATCACTAGTGTAATGTCCAAACTTTCAACTACAAAAGATGTTCAAATTCATATGATGCTTCCCCCTACACCACTGAGATAAAATCAACTTTAAACACACTTTTCTGGAGACAGAAACAAGTTTTCCTATCACTGGTGGGCCAGGAGACTGACTCAGCAACCTTCTCTTCTGGCATACATGAACCTGCACTTCTTGCCTTCAATTGTGCAAAGAAAAAGACCCAAACTAACATGTGAATTGAAATTAACGGAATGTCATGACATTTCTCCACAGTCATCATAAATGACTTTGGACTGCTATGTCTCATTTTTCATTACCAATGTCTTATTTCACAGCTGTGTTTGAATTCTCAAAAGTTATCAGAAAAAGTAATTATATTGTTTTTATAGCAGTATAATTTGACACTAGGCACAGGCAATATGAAACAAAGTGAAGTTGCTAAAAAATTACTTTGCCATCACACAAAAGACAGGATTATTCTTATCTTTGGTTATCTAAACCATGAAGGAATCTTTGCCCACTGGCAAACAAGTCATACCTGAAAATGATGTTTCCCGCACGATCAGCCTTCCATGCCTTCACAAGAGCAAAATCTCCTGTAATCGACTTCTCCAGAATAAAGTGACGGCCATCAAACTCTCGCACCTACAGAGATAAGTACACTACTCAGATGTAGGTTTCTTTAAACAGATCTCCCACATAATATTTATTTTATGGGGTTAATTTTACAGGCTATTACATTTAGACGTCTTCTTGTACTACATAAAGTTTTATCTGAAAAACTGTAGCTTGACTGTATGATAACAGAGAAGCATGGAAAGGCTGTAAACTGTAGTTTTACCATAGTGTCTCTGTTTATGAAAACAGAACAAGAATCAGATCCATATTCCATACTGGACTTAGACCTGCTTCTTCCTGCACATCCATCTACCAGCTAACCAAAAAATGAAGTGCCAAAGCAGAACTTTTGAAGAGGTTCATCATCACTGCCCATGACCAGAAACCCCAGATCCAGAATGAAGTGCATTTAAGACAGAGTACTCAAACCACAGCATCTGACAGACTGAATTTCATTTAATTTTCTCTGTATGTATGATTAATATTTGTAACTATATTGTGCCTGAAGCCAGAATACATAACAGACAAACAGCTAGTATTTTAATCCTATATAGAAACATGAAACAGCATTTCCCTCTTAACAATGTAGAAGGTTACAGTATACACAAAAACATCTCGAGAGCTATTAAAAAAAATTTTTTTGGGGGGAAGTATGACAAAAGTGTTATCAGAAGTCAGTTTTCAGTTCTGTAAAAGGAGATCTGAGCTTTTATAAAATGACACTTGCACTCAAAATGGATTTGGAGAATGGATTTGATCAAATCATGCTAGTCATGTTATCAGCCCCTTCCAAAAGGATGAGGAAAGTAAGAGAGACTTTTCCACAAAAGTAAGAAGTAGAAGAAAAATTTTATCAAAATTATAAGCTATTTAATAATCAAAACATTCCTTCAAATGGTAAAACATCATAACAACATATTCAGTAAGAAAATTAAGGAAAAGGAAAGACTAAGTTAATTATTAGATACTGAAAATATCCACGTACAAAATACATGAAAACCACAGGAGGGGGAAATTACCTTTACCCAGAGACGTTCTTTAGGTAGAATTTAATACCATTTGCAGCATAACTGAACATACAGCAGTAGTCCCATCCATTTCTTTAAGTACAGTTATTGTACTGAGAAATCTCTTCCCTTCTTCAAATTCTACATCCAATTTCAATACGAAGCCCTTGTTTCTCACTTGGAAGCCACATTTTTTTATTTCTTTGCAATTTCAAATACTCAGACTACCTTGCATTTCAACTGTTAGAAAATGCATTTCCTGAACGTTTGTGTCAACTGAGCTCTTCCTGTTTAACAGGAAAATGCCCCACCTCTTCTAACGCTAAAGCTTCAGGTACAGCTGTGGGGCTGCTTACTCCATATCACACTATTTAAGGAGCACCTGCCCAACCAACAGGATGCAGTTCTCAATCAGTACTGTGCACTGCAGTGGCCTGGTACAAGATTTTGTTTGAATACACAGTGAACCTGGTCAGACAACTGTCAAGTGAAGAGTAACTCAGCAACACAGTTTTCACTTGGACCAGTTCTTGCTGCTAAGCCATTCCAAAGCTGTAAAAACGTTTCTAACACATCACAGAGGACAGAAGTAAGCAGTGGGAGGAAAACTATTGCGTCTGGTATCACAGACATCCTGTTAATCCAACATACCAAGGTTAAACTTGACCAAGAGGTCCTTAAACTACTGTTTATTTTGGAAATATATGAGAAATTCAATTTTCAAAGCAGGCTTTCTAATAACAAATTGACGTCTTACCTCTCTTGGCTGGCTGGCAATGGCAATAGTGCCATCTTTGTTGTATTTGATAGGCGCACCCCCTTCCTGGACCAGCGTCCCATAGCCAGTACTGGTGTAAAATGCTGGGATTCCTGCTCCTCCTGCTCTAATACGTTCAGCAAGAGTACCCTATGGGAAAACATATTTAAGAACTAGTCATTGGGAACGACAAATCAAACTCTGATGAATGGGTCACATGAACATATTTTTATATCCTGTCATTTGGAGCTTCTCCTTCTGAATTCAGCAGACGATCAGATCTAGTTCTTCCATTTCAGCTCTCCTTTGTGGGATTGGTACTGGATATGGCAAGAAATACTTCACACGCAGCCACAAATTGCTCGAGAGCACACAGTCATACAACTCCCAAGCCCCAGCACTTTGCTGTGCCTCTTCCCATTCTGCTTATTTCCCAATACATTCCTCTGAGAAGAGTACCAAGTTCTTTTTCTCTTTCCGATCTGGCCACATATGCTAGAAAGTTTTTGTTTTACAGCAGTCCTACATATTTATGTTTCATTCTCCAACATCTTAGGAAAAACTTCATACCTCACTCCAAGCTGAAACAGCCATGTTTCTGAACAGCCATGTTTCTGCACAGCAGATCAAGAAAGGAACAAGGAGTCCAGCGATCTGGGTTGCTCATAATAAGAATACCAAGAGACTGACAGAACAGCATTTCTACTCTATTTGACCATCTCATCTGCACTCTGCTTTATGTCCAGCTAACAGCCCAAATTCCTCATTAGCCTTAATTATGGGCTGATGGCCACAAACATGTCTGTCTACTTTCCATTAATGTCCTTTCCCAATTTTTTTTTAATATTTTTCTGGGCTTACAGCAAGCCAAGAGCATCACAGTCAATTAAGTAGCTAGCCTCCAGAACAGAAGTTACATTTTCCCCAGTTATCCTGCAAGAATCACAATGACTTCTGGTAGGTTTACAAAATGGTGGCAAGAGGCAGATGTGAACCATGCAATGACATAAGTCCTGTGCTTCAAGCCGCGTTAGTGTCTCAAGATCTCATCATGACCTGTCCCTTACTGTGTAACAAAGTCTCCCACTTTGTATAAAGTCATATCAAACTTGAAAAGCATTTTCCAAAAGGCTACTTTATCTTGACACAAATATTTCAAATCCCCACATCTCCTAACAAGTCATTAATTTACATTACTGTTTATAATTTGTCCTAGTTTTGGCTGGGACAGAGCTAGCTTTCTTCACAGTAGTTAGTATGAGGCTGTGTTTTGGATTTGTGCTGAGGAGAAAGCTGATAACTGATGTTCATAATTGCTGCCAGGACAGTCAAGGACTTCTCAGCTTCTCCGTTGTGCCAGTGTCTGCAGGGGCAGCAGAAGCTAGGAGGGAGCACAGCCCCAATTACTGGCCTAGGATTTGACCTCAAATTTAGGATTTAGATCCAAATTGGCCAATAATATATTCCATATGATGCATGTCATGCCCAGTATATAGATGAGGATCTGTCCAGAAGTGCTCATTCTTTTTGTGTTGGCTCTCTCTCTGGGTCACCCTTCTCTCGGGGTCGACTTACTCCCTCAGTCAGCTCTCAGTCTCGGACACTCCAGCTCTTATCTACTTTCCTGGATTGCAGTTTTGGGACTCTCCCTACTCTGGGATCATTGGCCATGAATGGGCTGAGCCTTGGTCATCAGGTGGTGAGCAGTTTCACTGTATCACTCATTTGTATATTTCTATACATTACTATTATTATAGTCATCATTATTTTCAACATTATTGTAGTTTAGTTACTAAATTTTTCTTATCTCAACCCAAGAGTCTCTTTTCCCTTTACCCTTTTAATTCTCCCCCCATCCCTGGAAGGGGGTAGGGTGACCGAGTGGCTGTTGTGGTGTTTTGCTGCTAGACAGGGGTAAAACCACAACACCACTGCATACTGTAGACCCCGTATTTTCATGCTGTATCTACACAGCTTGTCTGTGCAGTTCACAAAGCCAGTTACATGTCTGAGAAGTTCAAGGTCTTCTAGATGAAAGCACTGAACATTAAGTAGGAAGAAGGAAAAAATAAATTGTGAGATCCGTGACTTTTGAAACATAAGAAGTGACAAGTGGCTGATTATTTCCCTGTCGACTGACTGGTTAAGAAAGAAGCTTTTCTGCCCAGCTCTCGGATTTGAAGAGACATGCCCAAGAGATGGACTCCAAAACTCTCTTGTCCATAAAAACTTAAGACTGTTGGTTTTCTCAGAGACTTAATAGTTGTTTAAAGCCCAAAGTTCATGTCTCCTTTGGAAATGTCACACACTAACATGCTGTAGGCTTTAAACTTAAAGAGTACTAATTTCACAAAACTAGATGGCAATAGAATGTGACTGATACTTATTATTATAGGATCTCATTGCATTCAGGCTATTTGGGTAGCTTGGCAGTGATAAAATAATTAAAACCATGGTGATAAAAAGTGAAGTTGTTAATACTGGCTCCCAACACTACGCAGAGATTAATTTCATTAAGATTTCATGAACAAGCCCAAAGGAGTTATGTGTCACAATGAACTGAGATCTCCTAATTTGATTCCTATCCACTAGATGGCAGACACTGCGCAGGCAACATTCCCAAAAGCACACAAGAGCTGTCACCAATATGGCAATTCAGAAGCTCCCTAATTTTTTTCCCTTATATGGGCCACAGTAGTGAGCATACTTCCTGTGTTCTTCTACAGTCTGGGAGGAACTACAAAAAAATCAAACATTGTACAATAAAATACCCATATGTGTATGTATATACATATATATATACTCGAAATGAATATAACGTTAACAAGCCATAAAAGGAATTCACACAATACAACCAGTCAGTTCTGAACAGACCAGTAGCAGCCTACAGCCCATGATCCTAAAATGGCAAGTGCCACCTGTCTTTACTGCACATCTGCACATAGGCAACACATTTGGATTAAAAAATAATTTTATAATAGTACTTAACCATTACTCTACTCAGTATTTCAAATGTAGAGAAAACACTGGTCTCCTGAAGACACTCCTTACCTGAGGCGTAAGCTCAACTTCAAGCTCACCAGATAAATACTGGCGTTCAAACTCAGCGTTCTCTCCAACATATGATGACACCATGCGTTTTATCTGCTTAGTCTGAAGCAGAAGACCAAGTCCAAAATTGTCAACACTGTGTAAAAAAAGCCAGACAATAATCATAATTTATAACAGAGATTTATTGTATTTAAAGCACTTGATAAATTTGAATGACTTAATAAGATAGAACAAAGTAATCTCCCCCAACTTTAGACATAAGGAATTGGAGACAAAAGTCAAATCCCAGCTTTTACGGGGGAAAAGATCAAAGCTACAATCAAAATCTAGGAGTCCAGTGCTCAGACTTCATCTCTTTCAAGGTGCTGAATACATCCAAAACTTCCTTTTAAAGACATTTCCCATGTAAATGTGCTACAAATACCAGCTTAACAAGTGATGTTATTTCACATATCTGGTCCTTTAAAAAGCCTTACTAATTAGTGAAAAGTCACATATAGCCTGGCTATGAGTGAACAAAGACTTACTTTTTTGTTTAAGCTCTTGCTCACCAGGAAAAAGGCAAGTGATTGCTTAGCAGTTCAAGAAGAAAGGTACATCCATATTTATAGTGTTGGTTCATATGTAAGGTAAGAGAACAATTCCATTTAGATTTTTTTTACAGTAAATAATCTGATTTCTTAAGAAACTGCTTACTCCAGCAAAATGTACTAACGCTGCAGTCAAGATTTTCTTGTCTGTCACAATATCAGCTTACAGTGAATGCCAAAGATAACATACATTGTGCCATTGCTTCTGGATTCTGACTTTCTAAAGACATTACTCTCTATTGGTCTTTAGCATTCCGGTGATGTTTGTCACCCTGTGTATTGTGTACTGATGGAACGAGAACATATTTCAAGAGTTCCTGTGACAAAGAGGCTGTGTAAAAAAAGCTATTTCAATTCAAAAAAACATGAGGTTAAAACATAAAAAAATGAAATAAACCAAGATGATATTACAAAGGCATATTTCTTTCACATTTCCAACACATTATGCAGATGTTGGCAGACTGGTATATGTGTGTGAAGCTCCTCTACATTTATGTTGTTCTCTGCAACATATGAGTGGTGAACTCAGACCTTCCACTCCCACTATAGGAAAGATGCCATGATCCAGAAGCACCTCACAAAAAGTGACGCATATCTGCCACTAGTTGTTTCAATTCAGTATGACTTCATTATGCACACAATGGCTTGAGATTTCAGGATAAAAAAACACTGAAAAAATATTAAAAGAACACTTTAAGAAATGAAACCCACTATCCAGCATGCTGCAATATGCACATGTACTTACAATATATGCATCCTATTGAAAACACCACTCCTGAAGAAGAGCTCCAAAAACACTGTCTGTATTTTCTAATTCTACTAATTGCTTTAATGAAATACATGTCTTTCCTATACAAATCTCACCCTTTTGACATTCTTACACCACCGCGTTTACAACAATGCTTCCTTCTCTAGGTACTGTCAGAAATGAACTATCTTTCCATTAATGACCAGACAAAGTACTGCATCAGATTGCTTTGCCTCTATTCTCCTTCCTTACACCTTACACAAACTATCAGCAAGTATATGCCCTAACTCTGGCTTTATAAGCTGTGGTGATGGGGAAAAAATGTAAAGGAGACATGTATAAGTACTGTAATACAAATCTATACTCCCCACAAAAAGAATACTATCTTACTCAAGAAAAGAGAGAGAACCCCCAGTTTAAAAATCAAGATACAATGCTGAGTGAGCTGAGATGCATTTGTTTTGCACAATAAATTACTGTAGATCAGAGGAAAGAACCCACTGAGCCACAACCAAAGTTCACTTAATGTATGCTAATACTCCACCACTTCAGGACCTATGTCAGACATTCCAGATGCAACTTCCGGGCATCCTTTCAAAAGGCCAGATTGAAAAAGTTTACTGTTTTCATACATAAAAGTAGTAATGACTTTTACAACAGCACCACTATCCTCTGCCAGTGCTGACTTCTAATAGCACGTGCTGCAGTGCTGCATGTGAAGGGAGAAGGGCTGAGCACTACCAGCACCAGCTCTTCACCTCCTACTACAATACTCACAATAGCTCCATGGACAGACCCGCAGTCAGAAAGACTTCCCAACTGCATGCATAATGAGGACTATTTTAAGGTTAGGACTTATTTTAAGACGATAGCCCACTTCTATGCATACTCACACATTTTGGAAACTCTGTAAGAGGAAGTGAAGCAAGCTCCTCTGATCTGGTTCTCTGAATTTCTTCTATGTTCTCTAGATGCAAAGAACTTGACTTACTATAAAAGCTTGCTCCACTTTCCAACTCTGACCTATTTAAAAAAAATTAAAAATATATCTCTGATGCAACGTTAAAAGTGTTGCAGTGCCAAAGCCTTGAGAATAAAATGTGTGCTGCCTTGAAACAACCTGTATTTCTAACTCCTCACAGGAAAAAATTACAGCAGTTTGAAACCAAAAGATCTGGGAATTGTGTAGAAAGTGAAGTCTTGTGATCAAAGAAAGGGATTAAAAAAAAATAATAAAAATACAAGTTCAGAATATCCTGTATAGGGTTAATCAAAGCAGGACAATCCCTCTCACAAGAAAACTATCAAACCCTGACCTCTCATTATACAAGGTAATAAGCAAATGCAACAGACCAACCAATATCTGATGGCAGTCTAACAGGTCTGTAAAACTAGAGTAACATGTATTGAAAGTACAGAAGTTAAACAGTACTGTGCACTGCTTTGTAATGTAAGAAAAAGCAAGGGCAGCTTGAACTGCTTACAAACCAGAGTTTGCTACTTCTGCGTATCATTCAGATGGTTAACACTGCTCTTGCCATTGCAAAACTTGCAAGCTATCAAACGGAAAAAGGCAGACATGAGATTTCTGAATGCAGACAACAAAATTCTGAGAGTGCATTCACATAAGAAAGGGATGGCAACAGAGGGTCAACAGAAGATTTGTAATGGTTAAAAAAATCACTGCCTCATTTCACTAAGATCTATAATCCTTCTTCCTATAGTCTCAGAAGCAGCTACTGGAGCACATTGTCTTTAACAGGATTTTGCATATTGACCTACAGGACCCCACAGAGATACACCTGATTCCCTCATCTGCTACAGGTAGGTATCTTCCCTCAAAAAAAAGTTAGTAGCTACAAAGTTCCCTATAGAAATTAAACAGAAAGCTGCTCAAAAGCTACTCTCTGTCATACTCATCCTAAGTTGTTCTTCACTTCTTAAGTCACTCTTTCTCCTTACCCCAAAAGCAGTCAATTTATTCAAAAATAAAATTGCAGTGAGGATCAGTCACTGAGCACACAGGCCATACAACCTTATTTCCCAAGCACAATGAGATGAGGAATTTTACCTTCAGATGTCACACACCAAGAGGCTCTGCCTACCTGATAACACAAAATTACTTCAATTCCCAGGTGCATTTCGTCTTCAGAGCAGCATGACAAAATCCAATTGCTGTTATTCATCTTATGTGTTTATTTTAGATGTAGATTTCTTAAAAGAAATATAGCACTATCCATCTTTTTTTTAAGAATGCAATCTGCATTCAGGTTTCCAGATAAAATAAACCTTTTGCTTTTCAGGCACATCAGTTTTCCTTTCATCTCCCTCCAAAAACTCATTTTGAGCACTTGCATTTGAATGTCCTAAGAAACCAACACTTCACACAGCAGTGAAAATGCTGTTCTCCCTCCTATTCTCCCTACCTTTTGCTCTTTACTTGATATCTCTATCCCAGAATAAAGATAAAAAACAATTCCTGGTTTAGGAAATTTTCTTTCAATATAACATTTTTTATGGCAATTATTACTTACTTGTTCTCCCTTCCCATATTTTGCTGCTTTCTTGGTTGTTTTCTTTTAGGTGCAAAAGTTTCTTTGAACTTTTCAGCTTAAATTATGTTTATACTGAAAATGTTACCCCTAAAACATGTCTTGCAGGCAATGCCCTTCCTATCAAACAGTAACCAGAAAAAGAAAAAAGATCCCTTACTGAGTGCAAGGAAAGAATACATCCTGTATTCATTTTAAAAACTGGGTTCAGTGCTTTAAAAATTTAAACAATGGTGAGTGCAATAAAAATGAGTTGCCTTAGATAGGAAGGAAAAAGGCAGTGTGGAAGCTGATACAGTTATTATGTGTGCTGTCCGAAGAGGGAAAGTACATATTAGTGTTGGACAGAGAATGCATTCTTTTGCCCTCAACATTGTAAAGATTTCTGTAAATTTCCCCATTCTGTATTAGGATGAAATCTACATCAACAGAATACATGAAACACACATAGGAAAAGAGCTCTAACCTGGCACTCATCAAGAACATATGTGACTGAAGTTCCCCACTCTACTAATGGAGAAGGTCTGGTTGTTTAGCAACACCTTCCTTCCTATCGTTTTGTCCCTCTCAGACCTATGAAACCTTCCTGTCAAAAACTAACGTCTGCCTTTTCTAATTAAAAAATCAGCCAAAAATGACTCCGAGCCAGATCTAGCCCACATATCTCAAGTATACTGGAAGCAGTCAAAGGCAACATGTTGATGCTGCACTCCAGATAAATGGTAATTTGCAGCTCTCAGACCTTTATCTTTGGTGGCTCAAGGAAAACACATTTTACAGCATCACAGGGAAGAAGAGACTAAGTTTCTAAGCTGATAAAAGCTTCACACTCAACCATTCTTATGCAGGAAAAAGGAAACATGGAATGTCACATTAGCAAGAGATGTAAGATGTTTCTTGGGGTTTTTTTCAGTAAAAGAAAATAATGACACTCTCTCACTCTGCCATTGTAAAGACATTTATAGGTGTCTAAGGAAAGTCGGAGTGGTCAGGACAGACTAGGTGCCCTTTCTGGGAACACTGGAACCTGAATATGAGCAGCATCAATTAACATAAGGGTTTCATTCTGCATCTCCTGAAGAAAAGTCATTCTCTATGCTCATTGTTCAAAGATTCTCCAAGACCTGTGGTGCATACTCCTGGGAGATCCCACCAAGACCAGAAGTCACTGGTTTTGAAAGATTATCTTGAATATTTCAGTTTTGGAGTATTAAAACACGTTGGACAAAGAGGAGCTACCTGACCT